CAGCCCTCCTATAAAATCAGCCTGGGGTATGAGCAGGGCTTAAGAGGGAGGAGTTTAGAAATTCCAAAGTTAGTTTTTAAGTTTTCAGCTAAGTCATGAGGGAAAAACGTGATTTTCATTGGAAATTGCCTCTATTCCATTTAGGTAGAACTCAAAATCTAGGCTTGAGATTATGTACTTTTATAAAGAAACTTCAGAGCTCGTTGAAAATGTTATCAGCTACCTACTTGCTACTGATAAAAAAAGACTGTAATACTTACTAAGCAGTTAAAGTATCAGGCTACAAACTGTAAACTTTCCTATTGCTGATGTTCGATGTTTCTGGTGAAACTCGATTCAGTGCCTGAGATGATACCTGGAAAGTCTGTAAAACTTCAAAGATCTATAAACAAGTCAACCTAACTACCCCAAATATCCCAGCGTGCCATTTGTACTTCAGCTTTCCCACGTGTCGACTGAGAAAGAAAACTAAACCACACGCAGGGGTTTGAAGCAGAGTGGGTCTGTGAGCTGGGGAATTCTGAGCTTCTAAAAGAGATGCAGAGCGATGGAGTTCCGGATTACCTGGGGGAGGTTAGCCTTGGAAGAGTGTCCTTTGTTTAGCTCCAGGTAATGGGAACTAGAGTGCTGCTCAGAATGGGAAGGGATTTAACAAGTGTTACTTACACACTGAATACGACGAGGGGCCCAACCGGTTTGCAAGTCAAGGAAAGTTAGGGAACTGGGCAGCTCACTGGGCTCCACTGTATCTGCGTCACGCTGCTAAACATAACACCTATTGCAGGAGTGGAAAATGCTGTGGACACGTGAGTTACGATTTGCTGTGAAAACCATAGCTTTGCATTTATTGACTTGGTTGTGTGTAAAGTTTTAGTGTTGTGTCAGCATGTTTGAGGAAGGTGTGCAGGGTAGAATATACGCCTCACTTTCAGATGAAGGTCAGTCTACCTTAACGCATTTTTTCCCCCTGAACAGAGAGTTACAGAAAGCTGTCAGACTTTAACTCTGGTGCAACAGCTCCAGTTCCATTGGCCCGGCTTAGAAAATACATCAGTCTGGGTCCAACTCACAAAATTTAGACCAGAAGGAAAAATAAATTCCTTGTGAGGTCATCCCTCCAGTCTGAACACTATCTGGTAGACTCCTTGAGCCACTAAAATGGCAGAGATCTTGGCCGTCTGCCCAGATATTGGAGAGGATGGAAGAGTTAAGCAGAGGAGCCAGGAGTTGTGGCGCAGGAGAGCACTGAGCCTGAGCAGGGAAACGGAGCGACTCAGGGCTCTGCGGACTGTGTGGCTGCTTGTGGTGGAGCAGAGAAGAGCAGACTCCGTGTGTGCCTGGGGTGGGGAACTGGGGATCCCTGAGAGCCGTTCAGAGAAAAAGAAAATGCTTACTCATTACTTCACAAGTGTGGAGTCACAAAGAGTTTCAGAAAATGCAAGAACATCTCTGTCTGCCTTTTCTTGCTTTCAAAAGTCCAACAGAAATGTAAAGGTATAAAAAAGTAGGGGCAGAGCTTTGATGTTTGTGAGCTCTATTTGGTAAGTAGGTTGGGTGTAAGTGTGCGTCCGTGCTTCTGGCCTTGCTCCTCAGTACTCAGCACCTCCTCGGTCTGCATTCACAGCCAGCAGCCTGTTACTGACCTTTATAAAAATCAGCCTGCGATGGGGCAGTGCAGCAGCGCGGCTCGTAAGCTGCAAGCAGAGGAGATCTTTCTTTCGTAGGGTTGGGTTTTCAAGCTGACTGGATATCTGAATGTAGTTGGGAGGACCAGCACCCCCTGAGTCCTAATACTGGATGTCTCAGATTTGTTTTCCAACAGTGTTTTTTTTTCAGGCATTTGAGAATATTGAGAAAATATTATAATGTTTATTTTATTTTATTTTACAAATGTTTCTAAAAAGCAATGTAGTACCTTTGTATTTCTCTCTGGATAAAATCACGTGAAATTATTTTTTATTGCTGGACAGACTGCATTGTTAACCCTTATCGTATGCAGTGTGTGTCAGTAATGCATTACAGACAGCACACACTTACTGGACTCTGTAGTCTCTTAAAATACGGGTAAAAGCTGCTGTAAGCATCAAAATATCTCTGTTCTCCCAAGAGCAGTAGGTATTGAGTTACTGATTGTTAGTTTGATGGATATGGTTTAAACACTTACTTTAAATAAAAGTACACATAAAACAGACCCCATTTTTGAAACACCTTTGATCTCTAAGAGGTATGAAACAAGAATAGATTTTTACTGAGAACTAACATATTCTCCATCAACCTGGTTGGCTTTTTACATATTTTTATAAAAGATAAATATTTTGCGTATCCCTTGAGATGGAGAGAAAGTTCTAGAAAGGTGTTACAGTGCAAGTTTTCTTTTGTAAAAGCTGTTTTTGGTTTGCCAGAATCTTCTACTTCTGCAGAATTTCCCTGCAGCCTATTTCAGCTGAAGACCTAACGGCAGCTGATGTCCATGGGAGAACATTCACAAGCCCATGCATTCAGGTCCTCTGGGCGCTTTCATTATGAGGATAACATCTTTGTTGGTTTAAGTTACTCTTGCACGTTACAGGAGCCTGATACAGAAGGTTGTCTGACTTTATATTTCAAGTTTTTCTTTGCTGAGAATACACATAAAAATCCATATCTTTGAAGATGGAAAAAAGAATAATTCGCACATCTGCATAATGTCCTAGATGTATTCCTTACAGTAAAAGCATTTCTCTGCCCATAGTTGGTGGGGAGAATTAGGCTGATAATGGTTTATTTATTCAGCATTCAAAACTTATAAGTATACTTAAAAATTATATGAACCTAAAAGTTTTACATATACCAAGCTAAAGTCATATATATAATGCTAAAACCATTTAGATATTCATATTCATATGTGTATGAATCCAAAAAAGATGGTCTTTTGTTACGACAAATGCCTTGATTGGTCATTTGGGAGACAAGTCAGGCCCCAGGGCTGTCCCCAAAGACAGAGAGAGGACGTGGCAACCTGCTGGAGAGCTGAAGCAAGAGTTTGAAGAAGTAAGCACATTTCTAGGAATAATGGATCTAATAGGCAAATATGTGAGTAGTTAACATTGTCCGTTGTCCTGATGTGAATTTTGTTTTGTATCTTCAAATCTTTAATAACTTTGGCTTTTTATATGATAGAAATCATATAAAAGGGACCCTGCTCATGCAGGCTTATAACCCAAGGTGTGAGGAAAATATATTTTTTAATCAAACCAGCAGACAAGCATCATCTTGTGGATCGTGATTTTGTTTAGTCATTTTAATGTATACAGACAGGTTTCCATGTGCAGGAGAAAAAGGACTACCTTCCATGAAAATTCATTTTTCTACAGGAGTTCTTCAATTCATGAATGTATTCACATTGACCTTTCTCTGGGGGTACGTATAACATGGTTCGGCATCTGTGTTCAATTAGATGTGAAAATTTTCTGCTACTATAACAGGTTTTAAAATATAGGACACTAGCATTTTTTTATTTCAAGCTGATTTCATATATCAGTTCAGGCTTTTTATTACTGTGATATTTCACTCAATTGGTGTTTTTTAATCCCTTCTGTGCCGTTAGATTTAATTGTTTTCATTAAATGTGCTAAAATAATATTTTAAATGGCTTTATAAAATTGGCCATAAAATGAGTTCTTGTTTGGGGAAAATATGCCATATACACATATAAATAGAGGAAAAAATTAGACTTGCAACATACTGGGTCTATGAAGTCTGTGTAAATGTAATGGTGGAACATTTACTTGTAGCTTCCTTTCAATAAATCATGTGAGATTTACTGATTTCTGCAGTATTATGGGAAGGTTGCATTGCAGATATTAAATCATGGTTCTATACAGAAGTCCTAATGAATGAGTTTTTAGATGGATGCTAGATTAATGAGATTTCTCATCTGTGTTACTGGGCAAGTTTTTCAAAAACAGATACAAAATCAATTACATAAATTGAACTACTGAATTAAATTGATCGCTTGGATGATTGTTCAAGCAAATACAAACAAAAGAAAATGTTTGAATCATGAAATAATGGAATTTACATAGGGCTCATGGTGACTAATTCAGACACTGTGCCCAGATTTGCAACTGTATTTTGAGTGCTGCTCATTAGGTACAGAATTGTATCTGTTGACCTAATTTGCGATCTCTTGCATTGATCACGGCCTTTTGCAGCTTCTTTATGCGGCTGCCCGTTGTAGTGGCTGGGGGAGTGCTCACGACTGGAGATCCTGACTTCACTGCTCTGAGGGAGGACTTGGTCAGTGGATTTTCCTTAAAGCTCCCCAGGAGAGTCTAATACACAGCCTTGGGTTCAAAATCACTACTCTACTGCATTTGTTGGCTTTTTACCTTTTTATTAAAAAAAGACAAAAAGCAAAGCTCGTTTCTCTGATTCAGCACTCAACTGGGGACAGTACCTGGTATAGAGTGTGGCCATCATGAGCCTCAGGAAGTGCTGCCTAAACGAGCTACTGTGTTGCCTTCCAAGATGATTACATGGCCCTCTAAGCAACACCGCTTCTAATAAGACAGTCCAGAAATTAAGCTGAGCTGCTGACAAGTAGAATCAGCCTTAACTCAACAAAATATGAGGACAGAGGAAATTTTCTCAACGGTCCTACCTAGTGTGACCTCAGGAGGAGGTGAAGAAAGGGGCTCTAAGCTCAACACTTGAAGGCATGAGGTACAGAAGATTCTAGAATGGCATCATCATCCTGACACAGAGGACACAGAGAGGACCAGGGAGGTGTATATATATATTTTTTTGGATGGAGTCTCGCTCTGTCGCCCAGGCTGGAGTGCAGTGGCGTGATCTCAGCTCACCCTGAGCTCTGCCTCCCGAGTTCCCGCCATTCTCCTGCTCAGCCTCCCGAGGAGCTGGGACTACAGGTGCCGCCACCACGCCCGGCTAATTTTTTTTTTTTATAGAGACGAGGTTTCACCTTGTTAGCCAGGATAGTCTTGATCTCCTGACCCCGTGATCCTCCTGCCTCGGCCTCCCAAAGTGCTGGGATTACAGGCGTGAGCCACCGCGCCCAGCCAGGGAGGTGTATGTTTTCTAATGGTGTGTTGTTCAGAGGAGGAATTGGCAACCCAGGCCCATGGAACTGTATCCACGCGTAAAGGAACTGAGGCCCCACCACCCAGAGACATAATGACTGCCAAAGAACACCTCAGACAGATAAGAAACTTGGGGATGTGTGTTTCGCTTCTAACCCAAACAAGTTTAGGTGAGAACATTACCAAGGTTTAGGTGTCCCATCAGCCAAGTCAGGTGAGTCAAAATTGATCTAAGATTACAAACTTTGTAGTAGTTTTTTCTTTGATACTCCCATGCTTTTGAGTCTGATAGAATATTTGTTTGGAGATAGTCCAGTATTGTCACCATGCTTTTGAGTCTGATAGAATATTTGTTTGGAGATAGTCCAGTATTGTCACCATGCTTTTGAGTCTGATAGAATATTTGTTTGGAGATAGTCCAGTATTGTCACCATGCTTTTGAGTCTGATAGAATATTTGATTGGAGATAGTCCAGTATTGTCACTACTAAACCAGGGAGTTGGTAGGAGATTCGTTTCCTCTAGGCTTTGGTCAGCATTAGGAATAATGATAAGATGACAAGCAGTTAGTGTGAATTTGCTTAGGCACAGGCACTATACTAAGTGTTACCCAGGCTTATGTTATGTAATTTTCCCAATAGACTTGAACCAGGATTCTGTGTTGCAAGTGACAGAAAACCCAATCCATACTGGCTTAAACAAAAACAGAAAATGTGCTGGCTCCTATCACAGCATCTAGGTCCAGTGGGCAGTTCCAGCTTCAACTGCAGCGCAGATGAAATTGCCGTGACCTGGCTTCTCTCCTGCTCTCAGCCTTGCTTCTCCTGCAGCAGCTCTGTTCCCTTGAGGCAGCTTTTCCAGGGCAAAACCTGACTCACCCCAAGCTTCGTGTCCTGTGAGGAAGAGAAAACATCTTTGTTGTCAGCAGCAACAGAATGCATGAGATTCAGCTTGGTCATTTGCTCACTCCTGAGTCTGTTGCTTTGAGCAGGGGAGCACAGTGAACGGATTGAGTTCGACTTGGGGAACTGCAGCTACAGGTAGAAATAAGCATGCACAAGAGGACAATGTGCAAATAAAAATCAAAGGCAGCTGTGAAAAGAAGGAGCCCTCTGGAGGCTTAGAGAGTTGAAGTCGTTCGCCTAAGCTAAGACAGTTAGCACGTGGCCTTGTTGGCATTTGGAAGAGGAGTGGATGACGGAGCACAAGTGGCTGCTCTACAGGGTCATGTTTTCTTCCCAATCACGTAGCGGGGACAACAGAGCCTGGGGGAGGATCAGAGCCCAGGAGGACGAGCAGCCTTCGTTCCCCAGGGTCCCTCTCCTGGTCTCTCCAATCGCAAACCCATGTTTTCAAAAGAAATTCTGTGAGGCACACAGCTGTGAGCACTTGTTTATAATAAGTTGTTTCTTTTAATAATAACTAGATTAAAATATTGGTCCCATGACCATTTTTTCCCTACCTATTAAGAGGCATTTTCCACACGAGTTCTTATAATTGGCAGTAGGTTCGTCTTTTTAAAATCCTCAACCTTTAACAAATATTTTCACACTGTGTAGGCCAAAGATAAGCAGGAAGGGCAATTTTTTGACAAAGAAAATTAAAATTAACTTTGGCCATGCTTGCTTTGTGCAAATCAAGCCTGTCAAGACAGGCTTGTGGGATCTGCTCTGTGATGTCGAACGTGTTACATATTTTGATCCATTTAGATGTCTTCTGTTTCTCCTTCTAGTTGGCCTTTGACTGTCAAACTATCTTGACCCTATCCAGTATATTGTATGCTTAGCTTTTCCATTGCCTCTGGGATAGTTGTCGATTTTATATAACTCTTTTATGCTTTTTGCATTTTTTTCTTTAAAACTCATGTTAGCCACCAAATCAATTTTCAGTCACAGACTGGTTTATCAATGACAGTTCCTTATCTTGTATATTACCTACTCTTGTTCATTTTGGCTGCCAATTAAAAGACTCGGCCCTAATTCTACACAATCTGGTTCTGACACTTGAGGTATTGCTTTTTTGTTTCCACATCATCTTGTCTGTGAAAACTTTCTTGTCCTGATTTGCAATTAGACTTACTTTATATGCTACAGTTTTTAGTTCATCTTCTTATTTAGTATTAATTACTTGATCAAGGATGATGGATTCTTAACAATATAAACATCCTGAATCAAATGCTTATAAAGATGAAAATGTAAGTGTAATATTTTGGTTGTGTTTGGCAAGAGAAGCCTGAAATACTGAACATTTCCCTTGATAAGTTACCTCATCAAACCAGATCTCTGTACAGAGAAAAAAGCAAAATAATTTAACTTTTCATACTAACAGTGCCTTTAGCCTCTCGGTTACAAACTCTAGTAGACTAGGTGAAATTCCATGGAGAATGATCTTCAGCAGTCATTCAGAATGAACACTAACAGTGCATGGGTGTTAGTCTACCTGCAGTCACCCATCAGCTGGCCTTGTCCCCATCTTTCCAGCCCACTGCCCAGAAAAATGAGAGTAGATCTGCCCATGAGAAAGCCAGAGGAGATCAGTGAGCAAGAGGGTTTGAGCCAAATCAGAAAAAGGAAATGGCTGCAGTTTATCAAGACTCTTCTTGGTTGGTGGCTGAACACGGTAGCTCATGACCACTGAGGTCAGTCATGCCATGGCACTCTGGCCTGGGTTACAAAGTGAGACCCTGTCACTAAAATGAATCAATCAGTCAATACATGCATACATACATGCAAAGACTCTTCTTGGTAGGGGGAAGGATTTGGGAAAACAGGGTGTTGCTTCCTAGGTCCCCCTGACTTAGCTATATCAGAGAAGAGGACACTGAAAATGGCAAAAGAGGTGGCCAGGTCTCCCCAAAGAGGAGATCCACCAGGCCTAAAGTCTCCAGGTGTCTTGGATGCACAGACTCAAGCAAAAGAGAAAAACATGAGGACTCATCAGTCTTGCTTCCTTGGAGGAATTGCCCAGGCCAGACTTTGTACTTCTGCATCCAAACATATGTGCACGTGCACACACACACCAAGAGAAACAAAAAAGAGTGACAGAGACAGGGACAGAAAAAGAGAACCAAGTAAAATGAGATGGCTAGGCCTTCTTTCAAGGGAAGTAGAACCTACTTACTTCTCTTTATATCTAAGAAAATAATTCTCAAACCTTCACCCTTTCAACCAGTTTGAAAGCTTTACCTCGGGGTAAAATGAGGGGCTTATGCTAGCGGCTTTCTGAGAGGAAGCATATGTGAAGGAGACCGGAGTCTCTGACATTTTCCCCATAGGGATCAGCGATTCCATTGTATACTACCTTCAATACAGAGCAGTGGAGAAGAGAGCAAAACAGATGTCTGCTCACTTTGTTCCACCATTTTTTTTTAATACTGTGCACTTCTTTGCCAATCTGGTGATGCCCACGGACCCCTTCATGGAAAAATGTTTTTAAATACATAAAATAAATGACAAGGAATTATAAAAGAGACTTATGCTGAGATAGACTTCTACCAATAGACGGCTCAGAGGAGGGAATTCAGGGAGCCCAGGTTAGGAATTAGTGTTACACAGGACTGTGCACCAAGCAAGGTCCCTTCAGGAAACAGGTGGCATACTCAGGCTGGGATAATTTGAGGATGATTTCATAAAAAGATACGTACAAAGCATGGGCAGGTATGGGGAAACCATGAAGAGCGATGCAGTGCATGTTTCCAGAAAAGGCAGGCCTATGATCAACCCCAGATCCAAAGGAAAGAGGGGCAGCATTTACTGGAAGGAGGGTAATTTCAGAAGAGAAGTCATTCGTCTTGAGTAACTAGAGGTGACCCTTACAGAGAGGGAGTCAGGAGCATATATGCTCTCTCCTTACGCCTCGTCTGATCTGCTGGGATCCCCAGAGGTGCCATACATTAAGCAGGCTTTAAAAAAATCTACATCAAATTAGGTCGCAAGAATTCTCATTTCCTAGAGCCAGAGCCAGCCCAAGCCCATCAGTCCCCCTGCGGGCGACCTCCTGCCAGTGGATATACAGCGTTAGGAAAAGGTGGAGCAGGGAAGGAGACGAATCACTGAGCGCAGATGATATTGGTAAGAAGTGCCTTCACTATAACCTGGTCTTTGTTTTTGTTGGCAAATATTTAGAAATACTTTAAACCATATGTGGAATTAAGAGTAATTGACCCCCCTCCCTTTTGCTAGAGTAAGTTTTCTTTTGTGATTTATTTAAAAAGCAACACCCACTGATAGATTTCCCAAGAAAATCTCTCTATCTGCAGGTTAGCTGGCCCGAGATGTCATCTGTGCTGAAGGAGAAATCCTTTACAAGTTGCACGTTGAGAAATGGTTAAAATCACCAAATTCTTTGGGCGGAGCTATCTGGCCTTTGAAAATATAGGTGGAGTACTTGAAAACTATTTGGAAAGTCATTTGTTCCAATGGGTTGTATTGTCATTCTGCAAATTACCCAAAACATTTTTAAAAATGAAAAAAAAAAAAAAAACTATTATCATCTACCCACAGAGATTCATTGACAGTGTATACAAAATGTTCTGTGATGGTTTTGCCTTTTATAATAATAGAGGGTTAACAAAGACCCCACCTGTCTGTGTTCCCCAGAGGCATGTGGTCAGTTACCTTGGTGCGAAGATAGTGCCGATACAGAAGTGAAAATCATTTACTCTGGGAACTCAGCCTGCCAGCACGTCTGTGAAATGATTTGCATACGGTTGTACCAGGAGTTCCCAGAACTCGTTCCTGGGTGTTCCCTCCTCTATTTCCACTGCTGGCTGGCTGATCCTGTTTGGGTGTATGTCTCCATGTGTCATGATGTTCTCTTTCAAAATACAGCAAAGTTCAAGAAGTTTTGCTTCCTTAAAAGCACACTTGGTGCGCAAATATGAAATACTGAGCCTTTTTTTTTTTTTCCACAGGGCATTTTTGTTTGTTTTTCAACTGCAAAGCAGTTTTCTGAAACTGATTTCCCAGAGTGACTGATAGGAGTGTATTTTCTTTTAACGCTGGCTTTCCTGAATACTAAACTGCCACCATAGGTGTCCTGCTGGTTATCTTCCTTTCCTGGAGATCCTAACGTTGTCGGGGACTCGATGACTCGAGAGGGCATTTGCAAAGATGAGGATGTCTGTGAAACATTGCCTTTTCTTTTTCTTTTTCTTTTTTTTTTCAGGCAGTGATTCTCTGCAGAAGCATTTTTCTTTTTAAATGAATTCTCAGAGGGCAAACAGAGATGAAAAGGGAGGAACAGCTGAATATTTCTGCTAGTGTTTTGACCAGAACAGCCCTAAAATGTTCTGTTTATTACCAGGAGGAGAACGGTTTGTGTAAGGTTAACGCTGGCATTACTTAGCCGGGTCCCTCCTGTAGAGCATCTGCATGAGTTAGGAAAGGCTGCCAGGTTTCCATCTGTCAGCAGCGCAAGCCCAGCCACAAACACAACTGTCGTGACAACCACACTGAGTTAGTCTTTCAAATAAAACTTGTTAAAAGCTACTGCCTCCAGCCTCCACCCACTGCAGCTAACTGCATTAAATCACCCTCTAACTAGTATTTATTTTCTTAGGCATTCTGTACTTGTGCAGCTGTGGGCATGCTGGCCTTTGATTTAAAATAACCCCACCAGGAGGAGCGTTTACAGTCCCTGAAGGTCAAGATGTGTTGAGGAGGATGTCTGAAAGCACTGTCCCACCTGATCCTTCTCAGGCTGCGGTGCCTGTGTCCGGGCCCTCTGCGTCTTCCCTGTGGGACATGGCCTGTGAGTCTGGGAACTGCTGGATCAGCTGATTTCTTTCAGATGATGGCAAACCAGAACCATCCCCTTAGAGTAAGGCCATACTCTAGACGGTGGAAGGCCCGCCCTCAGGCCAGTTCCTCTCCCCAGCCCCCCTCCACCGCCCTGTTTTCCCATTATGATGAGCTTGGGTGGCAAAGGCAAGTTTGGGTTAACTTTAGCTCACCTGTGAAATCTGAGTTGACAAGGGAATCAAAGCTATCGCGGAGTCCACTGGCACTGTGTCTCCTGGGGTGTGCGTTTTCTTTTAACTCACATGCTTGAAATCTGTGAGATCAAATGGTCTGGTGACCCCCTGGTAGGACTCTGTTATGTAAAAGCGATTTAATGTTCTCAATATGCTCTTTTAGGTGCGAGGTCCTTTCAGAAGATTTCTCCATAGTAGAGGGGTATCTTCCCTATTGGTCAGTGTGGGCTGTAAAAATGGGCACTTGGTTAAAAAAATGCTGAGGGTAGAAAAAGTGAAGTGATGGTGAAACATACTGTGTATTTCTATACTCTGTACATTTTTGAAAAAAAAGGGACAGCCCTTTCTGGTTGTTAGAGGAATACTCAGAGGCCCTGCCTGTATCTGAACAATGTGGTTAGTACCAAACCTTTAAAGAAACATTTATGCCTAAAATATTGTGAGATAAATAGGAGCTTTTAAACGTCCAATTCCAACTTCTGCACAGCTTCTGAAGTATTGTAGGAATTGAAGGAGCTTATGGTGTCTAGTACCTGGTGGTTACTCACTAATATCTGTTAAGTGAATGAGTGAGTAAATAAAATAAAAATGATGGTGATGATGATGACGGTGTTAAAGGATTAACTTTAAAAGAGAATAAGATCATGATTCTCAGGCAAATATAAAATCAGCACAAGTCAAAAACTGCATTGAATGTGTAAATTAATGAAGAAACCAATATGATAACATTACCATTGGTTCATAAGAGAACTCGAAGAACTATATTCCTTATAGTCAGACAAGGATTGCTGAAATGAATTTGCAAATGGATGTAAGCTGGCAAAATTGGTCCACATCCACAGGGTGACACTGAATTGGCTTGCAGGAGATGAGACACAGTATGTATGTCTACAGGCAGGAATTGTTTGTATAACTAAGAGTTTTCTACAAATCAGCTTGCATTTTACAGAGTTACAAAGTAGTCTAGTGAAAGAAAAGCAAACAAGCAAATGTGCACACGCTATAGAATCAAATAATCCTTGTAATAGTAGCATTCCATTGAGGGCTATCCAAAAATCCCTTAGGCATGTTTCAAACTCTTCCATAATCTTCTCCACAGCAGTTAACGTATCTATAATACACATTCAGTGCCAGACACTATTCTGGATGATATGCTTTAAAAACACAACAATTTATTGAATCTTCCCAAGGAACTGGCCCAAGGTTTCAAAACAAGTCAATAAGGGGTCAGAATTTGAGTCCAGCCTGTCCGACTCCACCACCTCAGGCTCTCACTGACCACGCAGAACTGCCAGGGAATGGATGTGGTCCATAAGTGTCTGCTAGCACAGCTGAGAGGCTACTGCTATCTACTGCTGGTCTTCAATTAGCATAAGATATCATGGGAGAAAAAGGGGTGATTGAGGCTCTGCTAGATTATCCGAGGTCTGTGGCAGTAGACGTAGGTGCATTGTGTTTTCTGGTTTTCCTTTGTTTACTCATCAAGTCTGCACCTGGCACAGCGTGTTTCATCTCACTGTGATTGGCACGTTCACCGACTGACGCCACAAGCCACGGTGTGACGAAAGGAGTTCATTGCAGGTTGAGTAGAATGGAATAATCAAGTTAGATTTTTTTTTTTTTTAAAAACATTAAAAGCCCAAGTAAAACAGGAGGATTCTGGCAAAATACTAGTCAAAAAATGGTTGCTTTGGGGCCCACTCTGTGTTTGCCCAGAAAGGTCTTGCAGGAGGTTGTAGGCCTGCTTGCTCCTACACACAGGAGGCCTGGCATGGCCCAGGCACTGCCTTCAATCTTTAGCCACAGGGGACCAGGCCTAGTTTTGTAAAGTGGAGAATGGCAAATACAGAAAGCTGCAAATTTCCCAAATTGGCAAAAAGTTCATCCTATTCATTTTCTCCCCCAGTTTTACTGCTTTGTATTAAAAAAGAAAGTCCAGGAAATATTTAGTACAGTTGTAGAGCTGTGCCCTGGGAATTCTCAAATGTACCATCCTTTGCCGTTTACTCTCTGTCACCCCCACACACCCTGACAATGGGAAGATTATGCTTGAAGGCCTATGCATTGTGGGATGTGTTTGCAAAGGCTCAAGAAAAGCAGAGCACCTACAAAGCTCACATTCTCTCTTGGCCTCTGCCTGCACTGAGTGGGGACAGCTTATTCCACAGTTCAGTGGTCCCCAAGAGGAAGAAACCGTGGTGGATCCTCCTCCATTCGGTGCGGGATCCCCTTTGCTCTGGGTAAGACCATAGCAAAGAGAGTAAGTCATTTACAGTTTTGGAGGAGTGCAATTTTTTTTGGCTGGGTTTTTGTTTTTAAATAAGTTTTAGTCCCTTGCATGTAAGTAAAGTTTGGGCAGGAGCCCATGTTTTATTTGTTGATGCTTTGGGTAGGAAAAAAAATATTGTGATGATAATATGAATAGTTTAAAATCTGTATCACTTCTTTTATGTTCACCACATCTCTGAAAACCTACTTGTAAGAGATTGGTGAAGGAGGTGTATTGGGTCATATTTCACCTGCAGGGGGTAATGTCAGAAAGGGAGATCTGTGAGGGTGGATGGGATTGGCGGTGGTTTATTTATTGATTTATATGTAAGCCATCTAGGCTTGGGCTGGAGCCAGAGCTGACAGTGCACATTCTCTTCCTCACTCTGCATCTCACAGATTGTTGGAAATTGGCTGTGGTGGAAGAATTTACACCACAGTAACTGGCAAATGCTACAAATCAGGGCTTGTTCATTGCCTCCTCTCAGAGTGTCATTTTGTTGTTAAATACTTATTAGCACTCCACTTAGGGTACCCCAGGTACACTCCACTTAGGGTACCCCAGGTGCACTCCACTTAGGATACCCCAGGTACCAGAACAGTACTTGGCATATAGTTAGTGCTCCAAAAATACTTGGAAATGAATTTAAGAATGAATGTTTCTAGGAACCCTGAAGTAAATTTCACTCCGGTGAAACAGTATCTTTAAGGTACCTAAGTTTAGAATTTTATCTTCAATTTCCTTAACAGCATAATTTAACTTACTGTTTGGTCTGCAGGATGCCAGTTGCTTTTTCATGCTTTGCTTCTTCTAGTTTCTATACACTCTCAGGAAAAGTGAGAATTATTCTCATTTTACAGAGAGGGAAGGGAGGCTCAGAGGAACGAAGTGTCACTGCTCTATTGAGAGGCAGAGTGTGTGTTCACTTCCAAGTTCTGGTTGATTTTCAGGCTGCCGCATGGCCGTGAGCCAACACTGCCTGGCCTTACTGTGAAGGGAACCCCACAACCTTACCGTGAAGGGAGCCCCACCTTACCGTGAAGAGAACCCCACAACCTTACCGCGGAGGGAACCCCACAACCTTACCGCGGAGGGAACCCCACAACCTTACCGCGGAGGGAACCCCACAACCTTACCGCGAAGAGAACCCCGCAACCTTACCGTGAAGGGAACCCCGCAACCTTACCGTGAAGGGAACCCCGCAACCTTACCGTGAAGGGAACCCCACAACCTTACCGTGAAGAGAACCCCACAACCTTACCGTGAAGGGAACCTCTGTCCTGTCATGGAAGGCAAAGAATGTCAGGCTCATTAACTGCAGGCACCATCCCAAGAGCTCCACGGCCCTTCTTCAGGCCTGATGTTTCTTGAAGAGCAGAATCCATGAATTTCCAGCTCCATGTTTGCTTCCCTTATCCCCTGCTGGGAGATCTTAAAGCAGATATAATACTTACTATTAGACCACGACAGCAGTTAATACATTTTAAACTCAGAGCAGTGAAATTCGGCTTGCTGGTTTGGGAGGTCTTGAACAATGAACCATGAGTACACTGGCTGAGCAGAAAAGATGGAGTGATATAAGATAGCTGCGGTGTCTGGTGTGACTGTCATCCCAGGCACCTGGAGTGAAGACAGCTGTCTTTGAATATAAGTACAATATTTCACTTGCTGCAAGGACATCAGCACCTGCCCCAGTCTGCCTCTGTGGCTGGAGGTTTGGGGATGCTTTCTGTGTCCTGTCATCAGTAGAGGAGGCACAGGCGAGGGGATGGGAGCAGCTGGGCTCAGCTCTTTGAAGGCCTTCAGAGAAAAGGCTGAGATGATAAAGGAATTCAAATGCAACGCCTAGCAGCCCACCCACCTGTACCTGAGCCTGCTCTGCCGTCAGGGATGAAAGGGCAGCCGCTCGCCCATCCATTCTCCCTTCATTAATTTTCTTCGAAAATTGGGTCCCCTTTACCTGCCCGCTCGCTGGGACCAAATTTCAGTGTGGACGTGGAAAGGGAAATAATGGGGAAGCATGTGATACGCAGAACAATAGCCAGTTCCACCAGGCCCACATTCCTCACGAGGCAGAGAAATAACGGCAATCAAGAACCATATTGTTATGGTCTGCTTTGAATAAAATTCACAAAAGTTCAGTTAAGAAACCCTGTAGTGTGGCTTCCCTGAAATTTCAGTGCGTTCATCACAAAGAGTGTCTGCTATTCCCTGTCTCTAAAGACTGGTTGTGTCTGAGATGCAGTTTATCAGGCTGCTGGCTTTGAGGGTCGTTCTGCAGCTTCTCTCCTTTTCTCCAAGGCACGGTCCGTTCCAGGTGGATTTGCCAGGCGAGGCGGGCCAGGTGCTTCCATTTGCTGAGGTGGCCGCAGCATCAGAAGTAACTGCTGACGTATTATTTGCCATCGTCTGCAAGAGCATGGAGAACATGGCGATTTCAGTCCTAAAAGCCCAAATCCGGGGAAATACTTGCAAAATCTCTAACAGAAAATTAATACTGTTGCTACATAAAGAGCTCTTTAAAATCGATAAAATATAACTAGAGTTGTGAGAGTAAAACAAAGTTCCCATGTTTTGGGCCCAAATTGCCAGCATCCGTGGGAAGAGTCGGGATGAGCTGGGGCTATCGGGGCGGCACCCTGTAGGGGTGAGTCCAGGCGTTTTGACTTCACTCCTGGAGCAGAGAGCAGATTGTGAAGGGAGGGTGTTGGGGATGGATGGAAGAGAAGGTGACATTGCAGCTGCAGTTCAAACATTTCTTTCTTGGGGAGAGAGTGGGATGAGGGAGCTGGAATAATAGCCTGTGTTAGAGAAGCCGGGAGTTCTAGGAGAAAGACCTCTGTGGCACTGAAAGAAACTGAATGGTATCAATAGACTTTTAGGAGGAAAAATGGACTTAGTGATAGTTTGGAGGTGAGACTGAGGGGGAAGAAGGTTCCAAGGCTAACTCCTGGCTCTGTCTGAACAACAAAAACAGTGCAGATGGCACTGCCTCAGACAACAGATAAGCCTGGGAGAGGACCCGGGTTGTTGCTAGAGACCAGAGGAGGAATCAGGGGTTCAGCCTGTGAGGTTACTGTGTGGTTCCCTGATGAATGACAGAGGAAGGGTTGAACTGCAGCTCTCTAGACTTACCATGGCATAGTTAGAAATTTGGGCCCAGGTGCAGAGTTAACCTTTGAGGAACTTCGGAATTAAATGTCCAGGTGAAAGATGATGTCTTTGCAAATGACTCAGAAAAGGAAAGGCCAGGGAGAATGGGGAAATCAGAAAATAAGGGGAGAGAGCACTGGATGTGAAGCGTGTTGGATGCTGCTGGGAAGGGACTGACAAGTCTCCTGGGTTCAGTGACGGGGAGCTCATTTGTCACCTCTGCAAGAGTTGTGAAGTTACGCAATGAGGGCAGGGCCTAAGCTGGAGCAGGCTGAGAAGTGAGAGGGAGCTAGGAAACAAAAATGGCAGCTCCCAAGATCCGTAAAGAAGCGTGGGTGTTACCGAGCAGAAGGAACCAGGAGCCATTTGATAGCCATTGGGTGAGCGTGGAAGACACAGAAGAGTCAATGAGTAGGAAAAGTTCCAGACTCCAAGGCACAGGCCTTGGAAAGGGGGACAGATTAAGTGGAGTTGTCAGCGTGGAGACAGTGGGAATTCCCGTGTGATGACTCCAAGTTTTCTGTGCGAAGCAGACTCAGGTGACTATTGCCGGAGGAGAGCGGGGAAGAACTGAACCAGCCAATCATAGTGAACAGTGTCGTGGCAGAACATCTGCTGAAGACAGCAGCTGTTCTCATCTCTGCTTCAGAATCTTGTCTGCATGGAGTTAACAATTGTTGCTTTGCCACTGTAGCTAGGGTGGGAAACAGCATGAGGTAGTGTCTCAGTTTGCTGGAGCTGCCTAGCAAAGGACCACCGATTGGAAGGCCGAAGCAAGAGATATTTATTTGTCTTGGTTCTGGAGGCTGGAAGTCTGAGATCAAGGCATCTGTAGGGCTGATTTCTTATGTGTCCTCTCTCCTTGGCTTGTGGATGGCTGTCTTCTCCCTGTGTCCTCACATGGTCATCCTATATGTGTCTGTGCCCTAATCTCTCCTTACAAGGACAGCAGTCATGTTGGATTAGGGCCTGTCCTAAGGACCACATTTAACCTTAATCACCTCTTCGAAGGCCCTGTCTCCTGACACAGTAGTTCTATTCTGATATACTGGGTGTTAAGGCTTCAACATTTGAATTCTGAAGGATGCAATTCAGTTCATAACAGGTAGATGAAGATGAATATCTCGTTAGAAAATGGCAATGTCTTACTCACTGTCTTTAAAGTTTTATTTAAATGTTCCAAGTGAGCGCTTGCCTTTAAAAACAAAAAACAACAAAAAAACTTTTATTTACCTCTTGTATCCCTGAAGTCTGAATGTACGCTTTGCAATACATTTATAGCTTGCTTTCTTTCTCATTCACTGAAGTATCAAATACTTCATAGAAATTTTCCATACTTTGTCTTAGTCCAAAAATTTGTTTTGAGAAGAAAGGGCAAGTAAAAGTTACCCAATTCTCTTTCAAGTAGATCCAGAGAAATGATAGTGTTTTTCCTGTTTCTTTGAGAATTCTCTGGAGCAGCTTTGCTCTAAAATGCTTTTAATAGGAGCTGAATTAATTTTTTTTTTTTTAAACAACAACCAGTCGCGTAGTAAAGATAGGCTTAAAGTGGATATTGATTTTTTTTACACCAAAAATGAGATCATTTCAGTATTAGTTTTCTGAGAAAATGTTAAATTTAATCTTAGAAGAGTCCGACAAAGTAAATGAAATACATTGTTTAAAGGTTTGACAGGTATTTTTCCCCTCATTTAAACTTATAGATACTATGATCAAATTTTTTATTTTTTATTTTTTATTTTTTGAGACGGACTCTTGCTCTGTCCCCCAGGCTGGAGTGCAGTGGCATGATCTCGGCTCACTGCAAGCTCTGCCTCCTGGGTTCACGCCATTCTCCTGCCTCAGCCTCCCGAGTAGCTGGGACCACAGGCGCCCATCACGACGCCCGGCTAATTTTTTGTGTTTTTAGTAGAGACGGGGTTTCACTGTGTGAGCCAGGATGGTCTCGATCTCCTGACCTTGTATGATCACATTCTTTATGAATATATAACCCATTTTACTCCTTCATATTCTTTGTATTAGGGTAAAACTACCAATGGCTTGCTAGGATGTCAGATGTATCACCTCACATTAGATTTATCTGTGAGTTACAAAGGCCTGAAAAACAGTAGGTTAAACAGGATAGGAAAACGTTTATTCCTCAGGTAAGTCTGCTCAGAGCAGAGGAGTACAGGACTTGGAAGTGCCTCCATCACCATATGGAATACAGACTGATGCCTTGGTGAAAAACCTCCTCCTCATAGTCCAAAGTGGCTGCAAGAAGTCCAGCCATCTCATCTGAGTTCTGATCAAAAGTGTGAATAAAGTAGTGAAAAATGTCATACCCTGTCCTTTCAAGGAACATTTCCGGAAGTTCCATCCATTTGCACTTAAATCTCACTGGCCAGAATTTACAGCTAGATTCCTGGGATCCTGAAGAGTATGATGTTTTAGTAGGGTGAAATATTGTCCAGAATAAATTCTGTTGAATGCTGTGCAGTGCTCCTAAGGAAGAGATGGAGAAGAGATGTTTGTGGTCACAAGGACTGCTGGTTCCTTTGCATACCATAAGCATACCGTGGCTGCTCTGAAGGACATTAAGATGGGACAACTGTGGATGCCCTGGCTCTGGGCAGAGAGGGGCCTGGGCTGCACAAGAATAATAATGGTAGCAAGAAAGTGAGAAAACACATGAGCAGTGTTTTCCAGAGCTAGCACTTTCAGAGCCATTATCTCAATCAGTCCTTATAATGATGTTCTGAGGTAGACAGTATCCTAGTGTTGTGGACTCTCGTGGTATAACGTTAATGTTCTAAAATAATTGAATCCATAAGGGATGAGTCCCTCATTCCAGGATCTGAGCTAAAAATCTGCCTGCTGTCTGCTGGGCCAGGCTGCCTTGGCATTTCTCGTGGCAGTGAACGCTCTGCTGGCTGGTCCCACAGGGAGGTGGGGTCATCCCTGCCCCTTCACCTGACCTCGCAAATCCCATGATTTTTCTTTGCTCATATCCTTTACATCTGTTCATTCCCTCTCTCTGCCACCACCACTCTCTCTCCCCTGGATGGTTGCAGTGACCTTGCAAGTTACATGTGTTTATGGCATTCTCATATTCCCTTCCAAACGATCCAAAATGTAAAGCCAGGCGCATCCCTTACCTCCATCAAACCCTTCTGTGGCTCTTCTTGCCTTCTTGATAAAGCCAGCTTCTGGGTCAAACGCCACCCTCCACCATCTGGTCCTGACATCCTCTCTCTTACTGGTGCTTTTTCCCACAAGCTTGGGCTTCCTAGCAATTTTGAACTACTTTCATTTTCTGAATTGTTCCCCTCCTCCTCCGTCTCTCTTTTTTGTGCTTCCTCCATCGAGATGTCCTGTTTGCCTGACTGGCTCCTGTCCACCCCTCAGGGCTCGAGAGAAGCTTCCACAGAGAAGCCCATCCCTCCAGAGGCTGGCTGGGGGCCCCGGCTGTGTGTGTAGCTGTGTTGCATGGTCAGCTCGTGCTCATCTCCCCCGGTAAACAGCTAAACCTCAAGGGCAATGCATTAACTGTGTCTTTTTTTTTCTGATGCTTTGACATCTGGATCCTGTGGACCCTGGAGAGGCTGACCCTCCCAGGGTGAGCCAGGGTCTGTAGGGTTAAAACACTTGCCTGCAAGCACACCCTCTTACGCAAACCAACTAATGCAGAGCCCACACCCCACACCTCCGTCAGGCTCCCGTCCTCTGGGCCACTGGAATTCCCCCGATCACCCCGAGGTTAGGGACCAGACAACTAGGAACAGCCCTGTGCCAGGGCCTGCCTGCTGAAATGATTCAAACCAGCTGGTCCTGAGCCTGTCTACCCTGCTCTACCTGTTCCTTTGTATGGAAACCACAGTAATGCCTCCTCCCCACCATGTCCTCTTGCTCCCGATGCCGGCGGTTCCTGTGTGCCGTGTGGTTTGGAGTGCCCTCTTCTCTTGGGAACTGAGTAACACACTCTCAGATGGTGTTGTCTCCTGAGCAGTTGGCCTCATCAGACCTGAATAAGAATGCAGTTGTTAAACAGGCGAGGGCTTTGTCTTCTTCCCCAAGGCACTGGGTGTCCTCACAGTGCTTGACACACAGTAGGTGCTTAGTAGACACTTACTGAGTGATTGGCTGGAGGAAAGAAGGGGGGTTGGTTGAGAGAATCCAGGAAGACTTCCTAAAGGGTGTCATTCAAATGGTGCATCAAGGGGAAGCAGGGCTCTCCAGGCTGGGATGCCTGGGAAGGACGTCCTAGGAGACGCCGCAGCCATCCTCTCTGCCTGGGATACTGTTGGCTTGCCTGCCTTTCTTAGCTGTCCACACATCCCTGAGATGTGTGCTCCCTGCCCACTCACACTGAGTAAAAGCACTCAATTATATGGATTGTCACAGCACTTTGTCATTCTCCTTTTGGTACCAGGAACAATTTGTAATTTTATACTTGCTTGTGTAATATGATGGCTGGTCGTGTCCCTTTCTCTAGGTCATTAGCTCTCGGAGGGCAAAGACTTGGCTCATGCCTGTAATCCCAGCACTTTGGGAGGCCAGTGTGGGTGGATCATTGAGGTCAGGAATTCGAGACCAGCTTGGCCAACACGGTGAAACCCTCTCTCTACTAAAGATACAAAAAAAAAAAAAAAAAAAAAAAGATTTAGCTGGGCATAGTGGCGCATGCCTGTAATCCCAGCTACTCAGGAGGCTGAGGCAGGAGAATCGCTTGAATCTGGGAGGCGGTGGTTGCAGTGAGCTGAGATCATGCCATTGCACTCCAGCCTGGGCAACAGGGTGAGACTCTGTCTCAAGAAAAAAAGAAAGAAGAAAAGAAAGAAAAAGTGCAGTAATATTTGTTGGATAGATGAACGCATACATTTAGGACACAGAGGGTGTTTTAGAGTCGCTGAACGATGTGGTCCCCACCGGGGCATGAAAGGAGCTGCCCTGGAAAGGTAGGCTGGGGCTGGGTGAGGTGACCCTGCTCAGGTTCCAGTCCTGCAGCTGCCATTTTGGAAACAACCATCTTATAAAGAGAAGGTGAGACCATTGGTGAGGCTGGAAATAGGGGAATGAGGAAGAGGTGGCAAGGCGCTGGAGAGGGGGAAGGGTGTTCTGAAGTGTGTTTCTGCAGTTCTGTGGAAGGAGTTGAGGTTGAACCCCTTACAAATATGTGTCGCCTTTTTTCTGGCCTCAACTCCACAAACAGTGTGAAAGTGCTCCTGGTTCTAATGATGGGAAACGTAGTTTCAGGGTTCATTCATCTGCTCCTTGTCAGCAATTTTCCACGGGCCCTCTTTTTTTTTTTTTTTGTAAGTCAGAAAAGATACACATAAGAAAGTACAGCACATTTGAGAAAAATGCATACAAGCTAAACGCAGATCCATTGTTTACTGAGCTGGTGAACCCAAGGCTCCCTTGCGAGGCTGCATTAGGAGTCTTTGAGGAGAATTGACCCTATGCTGTGTGTTGCTGTGTGAAGTGCTCCTGTGATTAGGTTTTCAACAAAGACAGTATGAAAAGGAGAAAATCTGATCCCAGTTTTTCTATGTGTAATAAAAAATATTGACAAAGAAAACTTACAGGGCAAAATCTCGAATTCTTAAGTCTCTAATCACACACATGTACACACAAGGTACACATTAATCCACCTCCCTTTGTATGAGGAAAGGCCACTATGTCACAATTTCCCTTTGCTAACAATTCCATGTTATCTCTTAACTGGAATGGATTTAATAACTGGGAGACTGAGAGCCATTGAGCTTTGATGACCCTTTAGTGGCCTCAAGTTATAGGACAAAAACTACTGAGGAAGTATCTTCTAAGGACTTTGGTGATTTCCGTAAATGACTCCACTTTAAATTGCTAGGATTGTGTAGCCTCCTACAATTACTGGTGTTCTAATTTCCTGGGACTAATTTTAGAGGGTGGAAGATTTTAATCATGGAAAGGAATTGTTTCCATTGTTCAGACTAACTTCAGAAGCAGAGTTGAAAGCCAGTGCCAGAGAGAGCCCCCAGAACATTCCACAGGGACTGGGCGGGCCCGGCCCGGGGCCTGCCTATGGCCTGAAAGAGAAAACCTGCCACGGAGCCGGGCTTCTCTGATCCTCCCGCCAAACTTGGTCTCTCGTTTAGCTTTCTTTGTGTCTGAGGATTTAGCGAAGGCCTCAGAGTGAGTTTCTGCATATCCTTTTTCCTCGGGAACCCCAGTGGCTGACAGGGCCCCTGGTAATGTGGCCTTAGGATGCTGGCCTTCTGAGTTCCTGTGGAGGGAGCAGACACGGGGGAGGGTTGAAGTGTGGGTCTCTTTCTCTCTTTGGCGCCCGCCCACATAGAGGTTTGTGCACCTTCCTTTCTCTCTGTTCACACCCCCGTGCCCAGGAGATGGGAGCAGACACCAGCAGGGCTTCCCATTCTAGCCCCAAGGAGTACCCATGCGTCTGGAAGGACATCTCAGTGTCCACCCTGTCCAGCCTGTCAGGCCGTGTGACCGCTTCAGAGCTAACTCACCTTTCTCTCCTGTCCGTGTGAATCTGCACCCCCAACCTGCACCATCTTCAGCTCAAGATTTTGGATTTATGGAAAAATAGCTATTTCATTTACTGTCACCTACTAAAGGTGAGCCACAAGTACCAGGTGATGGGCAAAGTCATGCTGCTGGTGTCTGTGGCTCCCTTCCCTGCTGGGTCTCCTATGCAAGACCTCCTGGTGGAAGGAAGCCTCTCTCACTGATTTTTATTTGGAAATTCCTGTGCTGCCTTGCTGCCTGTGGAGTACTCAGTCTCTGCTTTGAAATGTCCTAGGGATGCTTGCATCGGAAGAAAATACTCAACACAATACATTTCAATAGATACAAGTTCAAAAGGGAACTCCCGGGTGCTGGGGTTGTCAGAAGACTGTATTAATAAAATTTACAGTAAATGAAAAATGAGGAGAAAATACACATATACACTGTATGTCTCCCGCTAACCTTGTTCATTCCTAATACATTGAGTAGTGGTTCGTTTTCTTTCCTGTGTCTCTAATTTTTCTGCGAGGAACATCCATATAGACCATGGGAAGGACACATGCTGAAATGTGTCGTTGCACACCAGCCTGGGGACGCTGCTCTGAGTCACCCTTCAGGTCCTGGAGTCTGGGCTCTTGAGCAAATGTTACAGGTTTTCCAGTCCAGGGTCCTGCCTCATTTAAGCTGGTATTTTCCTGAATGTCCTTCCAGAATGCTGTCCACCCCTGCCTGAACAGTCCGAGGTAGAGGGAGGCCACCACCTTCCAGGCCACAGAATCCCTTGTTGGGCAGCTTTATTGCTAGAAAGAAAAAGAATGAGAAACAGTGGGGTTAGGTAAAGATGAGAAGGATGGAGAGGGAACAGAAAACATTGCTAATAAGTTGAATTTCAACTTTCTGGTGACGTCTAGATGTTTGGCCTGGTTTCCCGGTTTCCCGTTTGAGCCACACAGAGCCAGGCGATCTGTCACAGGCTTAGCACCCGGTCCTCTTTGAGAGCCGAGTCATGCTTCCTCTTCATTTCCACATTCTCAACACCCCAAGTTCCTTCAGTCCCTCGTTAAACAGGCTTGGTTTAGCTCCTCACCATTTGAGTTACCTCCTTCTAGACTAATCATAGTCGAACTGTCCTTGAAAAGTGTCTTTCCCGGAGCCCAGCGTGGGGCCCTGCAGTGGGCATGGGCACGGGCAGTGCACTGCATGGGGTTTTTCCTTCTCTCCATCCGGGTGCCATACACGAGGGTTTCCAGCTTAGGGCAGCAATCGTGTTTTCAGTGGTTACGTCACACGTCAGCTTACATTAACTTTGTGGTCATCTCTACTCCAATATCTCAAACTCATCGAGTGAGTGAGTCAGAACCAGGGTCAGGGGAGACCTTTCCATTGTGTCTTTGTGGGGACGTCAGGGGACATTAAGGCAGTCACCATATGGGACCTTAGGAGAGGAGCCAGCAGGGAGGAGCGGCTGTCTGACAGCAGGGCCTGAGGGATGAGGGAGCCGCACCTGCTGTGAGAGTCCCTTCAGAGCCAGTGCCCCTTGAGGTGCGTGCACACTCTTGGGATGACAGAGTTTTGCAAAAACTAAAAGCTTCAGCTGGGCGCGGTGCCTCACGCCTGTAATCCCAGCACTTTGGGAGACCGAGACGGGTGGATCACCTGAGGTCAGGAGTTTGAGACCAGCCTGGGCAACATGGCAAAACCTACTAAAAATACAAAATTTAGCTGGGTGTGCTGGCGCCCGCCTGTATCCCAGCTACTCAGGAGGCTGAGGCAGGAAAATCACTTGAACCTAGGAGGCGGAGGCTGCAGTGACCCGAGATGGCACCACTTCACTCCAGCCTGGGCGATAGAGCAAGACTCTGTCTCAAAAAACCAAAAACCAAAACTCTAAAAGCTCCTCCGTGAGGGGCTTAAGCATCCTTGTGGTGGAAAAGCAGGTACGCAGAGCACAGCAACTGGGGGCCCCAGGCAGTGGTGTGCCCGGCAAGCCAAGTGGAGGGGAAGACAGACACAGGTGTGGGAGTGGGGAGCAATGGGGGCATGGCCGCTGTGTAAAGAGGCAGAGTGGACTTGGAGAGAATTCTGGAGCAGTGAAGAGACACAGAGCAGGCGGCAGCCTTGAGTTTAGTGCAGGGACTGAGTGGCCCCATCAGGCACATATACGTGGGCAGTAGCAGCTGTGTTGTGATCCGAGGGCCACGGGCCACGTGGCTTGGGACAAGGGCAGTCGTTCCTTACCTGGTTGTTTTCTGAGAGAGTATAGTCTGAAAGGAGAGCAGCTCATGCCTGGAACAAAGCCCCACCCAAGTGCCGGTCACACGCCATGCAGATATCAAGGCAGATGAGAGGCTTCTCTGTGACTTCTGGGAGGATGTTAGAGGAATGAGAGGACCTCAGAGTGGGGCCAGATGAGGTCCTGCCAAGGGCAGATAAGAGCCATTTGGGCTGTACATGGGACCTTCGTGGTATCCACAGATAATCTGGCCTGGGGGTTACAAGGCTTTTTTTATCCACAGAAATGTTTTAAACTAACCATGTGAACATTGTTTTAATAGAGGCTTTATGGTGAGAAATCACAGAGTAAAATCACCATTTAATTCTGTGACTTCCTGAACGGAGCTGGGTCCAGGGTGGACCCGCGTGTTTGGGTTGTGTGGACTGGGCCACATCTAGGGTATTAGCAGTTCTGTTCAGTTCTTCCTCTCAGCGTGTGGGGCTCTCCTGCATGGGAGCCCCAGCCCAGACAATGGAGGACTTCCCCACACGCTCTGGAAGACTTGGGGATAAAAACTGTTTGGTGCCCAGGTCAGACCATAGGGATGTTTAAACCTCGATTTTACCTTTAAGGTTTGAAAATCAGACCACTTTAATGTTTCATTTTAGACTTACTCGTGCTGTTTCCCTGTTGCCGAATTTCACTTTCATAAGGATTTTACTGTAAAGGGGATTCTCAGGTGAGATTCTGTGGTTCACGCTTTGACATTCTAATTCCATAAAATTAAGCAACAGATAGGATCACTGCAAAAAACCCACTTAATACTGCTGTGATGACGT